GCTCTTCTGTGCTGCCAGGAGGCGCTCCTCGAGGAGGTCAACGGTGAGTGTGGTGGGGCAAACTGAGAGGAAGTGGTCCCTGACTAAGCGAAGGGAGTCAGGGAGTCGGGTGACTATGTAGTAGAGGGTGATGTACATGGGGGGAGGGTTCTTGGCACAGAACTCAGCAGGAAGCGCAGCGCGGTAGCGAGTGTCACTAGTGCGAAGGTGCGTAATGAGGTCAGCGACTGTGGGAAAGGCAGCAAGGTCAGGGAACAGGTACGGCAGCATGAGGCGGCTAAGAGCAGCAGTGGCAGGGGAAGAGTAGCGTGCAACTACAGCGTCGTACAAGGTCTTAGCACTCTTGTACTGACTAAAGTGCGCACGCTCAGCGGTCGGTAAGTGGCGACGCACAGCAAGACGGGCAGCAGCATCGCGTGTGGCCCACTGTGAGCGAAGCCGCCCCGCTGCGCAGAGCCACCCCGACCAGCTCCACCTCCGCCGCCGCCACCTCCGCCACCGCCGCCTCCGCCTCCTCCTCCGCTCCCACCGCCACCGCCGCCGCCGCCTCCGCCTCCACCGCCGCCACCGAAGCCCCCACCCCCGCCACTACTCCCACCGCCACCCCCACTCCCTCCGCCGCCTCCACCGCCACCTCCACCGCCCCCGCCAGGCCCTCCAGCGCCCTTGCCCCCCTTGCCCTTGCCGGTGCGGCGTCTCCCGCTAGGGGCAGACGCAGCGCCGACCGACTTGGTGCCAACGAAGTCGACGGCAGCAGCAGAGGCAACAGAGGGCAAAAGGGGGGAGGGGGAGCACCCCTCAAAGAAAGGGGCACGAGGGTCACCACGAGAGGCTCCTACAGCGACTATACTCTTCTCAGCTGCCAGGAGGCGCTCCTCGAGGAGGTCAACGGTGAGTGTGGTGGGGCAAACAGAGAGGAAGTGGTCCCTGACCGAGCGAAGGGAGTTAGGGAGCCGGGTGACTATGTAGTAGAGGGTGATGTACATGGGGGGGGGGGGTTCTTGGCGCAGAACTCAGCAGGAAGCGCAGCGCGGTAGCGGGTGTCACTAGTGCGAAGGTGCGTAATGAGGTCAGCGACTGTGGAAAAGGCGGCGAGGTCAGGGAACAGGTACGGCAGCATGAGGCGGCTAAGGGCAGCAGTGGCAGGGGAAGAGTAGCGTGCGACTACAACGTCGTACAAGGTCCTAGCACTCTTGTACTGACTGAAGTGCGCGCGCTCAGAGGACGGCAAGTGACTACGCACAGCAAGACGGGCAGCAGCATCGCGTGTGGCCCACTGTGAGCGAACAGTGCTGTCAGCAGTAGCAGGCGGGGCAGGAGAGGCACCAGAGGTGAGATCAAACAGGGAGAGTCCGTCTGCCCTATCGCACTGTAGGAAGAGCTGGAGGTCATCGACCCAGACCTCAAAGTCAACAGCACGACCCTCAGCATCAAAGGTAAGGACACTGGGGGTAGCCATGACAGCAGTGGTCTAACAGGGAGTGCTCTCACCAGTCCGGGTGGGAAGGGCCGGTGCGCGCCGGTAGGAACAGTAGCGGCTCGACGGCGGCTCGGCGGCTCGGCAACTGGGCGGCTCGGCTGCTGGGCGGCTCGGCTGCTGGGCGGCTCGGCTGTTGGGCGGCTCGGCTGCTGGGCGGCTCGGCTGCTAGGCGGCTCGGCTGTTGGGCGGCTCGGCTGCTGGACGGCTCGGCTGCTGGGTGGCTCGGCTGCTGGGCAGCTCGGCTGCTGGGCGGCTCGGCTGCTGGGCGGCGCGGATGCTGGGCGGCTCGGCGGCTGGGCGGCTCGGCGGCTCGGTGGTTCGGCCGCTTGGCAGCTGAAGGGGCCGTGAAGGGCGGCGACGGGGCCGCTAGGGGCGGCGACGGGGCCGATAGGGGCGGCGACGGGGCCGCTAGGAGCGGCGACGGGGCCGATAGGGGCGGCGACGGGGCCGCTAGGGACGGGGCCGCAAAGGGGCCGCGAGGGGCCTCAAAGGGCGGCGACGGGGCCGGTAGGAGCGGCGACGGGGCCGCTAGAGGCGGCGACGGGGCCGATAGGGGCGGCGACGGGGCCGATAGGGGCGGCGACGGGGCCGCTAGGGGCGGCGACGGGGCCGCAAAGGGGCCGAGAGGGGCCTCAAAGGGCGGCGACGGGGCCGCTAGGGGCGGCGACGGGGCCGCGAAGGGGCCGCGAGGGGCCTAGAGGGGGCGGCGACGGGGCCGCAAAGGACGGCGACGGGGCCGTAAGGGGTGGCGACGGGGCCGCTAAGGGTGGCGCGAGGGGGCCGTGAGAGGCGACGTGAGGGCGGCCAACGGGGCGCGCCTCGGGCAGGGGCGACTCGCGCTCCGGTCAGGAAAAAAAAAAATTCATTGGTGGGCCCTGAGAAGCGTTCCCACTAGGGAACCTGCTCTATACCATGTGAAGAAATGAGGAAGGAATGAATGAACTAGCAAGCAGGTGGGTACAAGTAGGAAAACCTAAAAGTGTTGTACCCCATATTGTCTACCCCACTATAGCCTACACAGACTATAGCGTATGAGTTTGACATTGGCAGCAGGCTAGGGGCAGCAGTAGCAGGCGTGGCTCGGCAGTGCTCTTACCAGTGCTCAAACTTAAAACCTCTCCTCGAGGTCACCTCCAAGGGTCCTTGGGTGCCTGGTACAAGACCAGCCCCTATCCTCGGGTCCGAGTTTGTAGAGAGAGGGACTTAGTCAAAACAGCAAGAGTACCTTGAACGTCGCGCAGCGTATCGTGCAGACCGTCGATCGGATTAAGCTGAGAATTTCCTATATCGAAGTTCGCTCCAAGAGCTTTAAAATGAACCAAGTGCCTCGTGAAAAGTTCTGCCATTACGAAGTTATGGCTCGGACAGCGTTTGCCTAGCATTGACTCGGGTAGCATTCCGCCGTCGCACCGCGTAGAAACGAAATTCCAGCAAGGAAGGAATTCGCTTGAATCAATTTCACTATATTCAGGTATAAACAGAGAAGGAATAAATAGCTCTAGCTAGCAAGGACCCTGGGAATCAACCTGGGAACAACCAGGGATGATCCCAAATAATTCCAAGCAGCAGAACCAACCTGGCTGGACAAAACAGCAGGTGGTAGGTTGGTAAACAACCTCTGGTTCTGTTTTTCCAACCTGGGAAAACAACAACCAGGTTCAGGTCCTAAAAACAGAACCTGTTTTGTCTTTGCCCAACCAGCCAAATGCTGGTTCCGCTGGTTTCCCCTGGCCCTGTAGCATGCAGATACAGACAAACAACATCCAACCTTCTCCTAAATTGTACCCTTATAGTGCCTGCCCTGCTACACTATAGTCAACCAAACAAAACAGTACAATTACGAGTTGGATAGAACTGAATCTGCACAATCAATTCAACCGAACCGCAAAGCTTCCATCTTGGGTTCCTTTGCGAGCTCGTCCTTTCTGCTTGTACTGTTCATAGCGCGTACAATGTTGTGCCGAAGCGCATAATGCGCGAGTATCTGTAAATGCTTCAAGCAAAAATTGCGAAAGCAAACAAACACACGAACATTCCATTCACACCCAAATGCATTCGCACACGCATACTCGTACAAACAGACGGCAGGATGTCGTGCAATGTGAATTTGCACCCAACAGTGAGCACTAGCACGGATGGGGCACGCACTTACAAGGGGCAGCTGGGCAATCGGGTGCTTTGGGATCTGCACGAGAGCACGGACGTGTACAGATCCATGTGGCAGCTGCCGGCGTTGGCGTGGCATGGTGGGGGGCAGGCTGGAGAGGGGTCTGCATCCCAGGGGGAGTGCAATGCCGTTGGAGGGGTTGGTGTGAAAGTGTCGGCCAGATCTGGGGAGACGGATTGGGCAACGGCACACCGACGCTTGGGGCATGTGGCAATGCCTTTGTTGAAGCAGTTGGAGAAAGATGGAGCCGTTAAGGGTCTGAAGCTGAACGGACAGCCACCTGATGAGAATTGTGAAATCTGTTTGATCTCAAAGTTTACCCGTTTCCCCTTCCATAGTGTGGCTGGCAGGAGCAAGAAGCCGTTGGAGCTGGTCCACATGGACTTGGTGGGGCCGCTGCCGGTTCAGGGGCACAAGGGGGAGCGGTACTTTCTGACCATAGTGGATGATTAGAGCAGGCTTATGTGGGCATATCCGCTGAAGCAGAAGGACCATGCCGCCTCTACGATACGGGAAGATTGGCTGCCATTCGTGGAGAAACAAGCGGAGTGTGTGGTGAAGTGGACTAGGACAGATCGGGGTGGTGAGTTCCTTGGAGCTGAGATGACGGCCTGGCTCAAGAAGCAGGGCATCCAGAGGGAGCTGACCACGGCTTACACCCCACAGTCTAACGGTGTAGCAGAACGGGCGAACCGGACAATTCTGGAGACAGCTAGGGCGCTGCTCATAGAATCTGGGCTGGGCAACTTGATGTGGCCCCATGCTGTTCGGCACGCTACCGTCGCTAGGAACAGGGTACTCACAAAGGTTGGGGATGACTCGTGGGTGCCGTTGGAGAGGTGGCTTGGGAGGAAGCCGCCGGTGGACATGCTGAGGGTGTTCGGTTGCATGGCAGTCGCCCACGTCCCCAAGACCTACCGCAGTAAGTTGGGGGCGAGTGCAATCTGGTGTGTGCATTTGGGGCTGGCTGCTGAGAGCAAGGGATGGCTGCTGTGGGAACCTTCCAAGGGTGTGTTGTTTGACAGCAGGGATGTGAAGTTTGTTGAGGGCATGATGTATGGGAGCTGGGAGAAACAGCCGGAGGCCAGGGTGTCCCAGCAAATGGAGCAGATCACCATGCAGCTGGACCTGACTCCTAGTGTGTGGGAGGAGGGAGAGGAGGCAGCTGCAGAGGGTGGTGATGGAAAGAAGGTACGGGAGGCACCTGCTGGTGGAGAAAATGATGTGGAGACTAGCACTAGTGGAGCTGCTGGATCTGATGGGGGAGAGCAGCAGCAGGGGAAAACTAAGAAGCCGAAGGGTGTCGTTATGAAGGGATGGGAGACACCCGTCTCCAGGCCAGGACGTACCCATATGGCTACTAAGAAGCTGACTGCAGGAGCTGATGTAGCAGAGCAGCAGCTTGGGACAGAGGAGGCATTGCTGATTCTACCGCATGGCTATGATCCGGATGAGGAGGATGAACCTGCCTACTGTTTTCTTGCCCCTGCACCAGAGGAACCAGCTAGCATGGAGGAGGCATTAGCTGGACCAGATAGGGAGAAGTGGCTGGTTTCCAGGGATGCTGAGTACCAGAGCCTGCTAGAGAATGGGACATGGGAGCTGGTGGTGCTGCCTGAGGGGAAGAAAGCCGTACAGTGCAAGTGGGTGCTAAGGATCAAGACCGATGACAAGGGACAGGTCACCATCTACAGGAGTAGGCTGGTGGCTAAGGGGTTTATGCAGAAGGAGAAGCGGGACTTCAATGAGATCTTTGCTCCCACTGCCAAACCCCCTACCCTCCGTGTCTTGTTGGCAGATGCAACCGTTACTGGGAAATTCATCATTCAGATGGATATATCAACGGCATTCCTCAATGGGATTTTAGAGGAGGATATGTACATGACACAGCCGCCTGGGTATGAGGATGGTACAGGCAGGGTGTGCAAGCTGAAAAAGTCCATCTGCTGGTACCAGAAGTTGGCAGCTGTTTTAGAGGAGATGGGATTCAGGACCAGCAGCTGTGATGAGAGCCTCTTTCTCAAGGGGGAGGGGGAGAAGCTGGTGCTGTTTCTGGTCTATGTGGACGACATTCTTCTCTTTAGCAGCAGCATGAAGGAGATCCAGAATGTGCAGCAGCAGCTGATGGAGAACTTCAAGTGCAAGAACCTTGGGGAGGTAAAGTACTACCTCGGGATGCATGTGGAGAGGGATCCAGATCACAGGTGGTTGAAGCTGCACCAGGAAAAGTTCATCAAGGAGCTGGGGGAGAAGTATGGGATTGAGAATGAGCGCAAGGTTGCAACTCCCCTGCCAGCAGAATTCAAGCTTGTGAAGGCTGCAGAGGATGAAGGGGTTGAAGCCGAGGAGCAGCAGAAATTTCAGTCCTTGGTGGGCAGCCTCTTGTATGCAGCAGTTCACACGAGGCCCGACATCTCTTTCTCGGTTGGGCAGCTGGCTAGGGTGGTACAGAATCCATCAGAGGAGCAGGTGGATGCAGCTGAGCGTGTGGTGAAGTATCTGAACTCTCACCCAAGCATTGGAGTTCAATACTCCGCATCTGCACAGGTGAAGCGGAAAGGGGTTGAGGTGCTGAAAGAGAAGGGGGAGAGGCTTGGAGAAGGCAAGTTGTTTCTCACTTGCTTTACAGATGCTACGTGGGCTTCTGAGAAGGAGGATTCCTCATCTGTGGGAGGATACATCTGTGTAGTTGGGGGAGGACCTGCTAGTTGGAGGTCAAACAAGCAGACGGAGACGGCACTCTCTTCTGTGGAATCAGAGTACATGGCGATATTCCATGGGGTGAAGGAGGTGATTTGGCTGAGGAGGTTGTTAGAGGAGATTGGCCAGGAGCAGAAGGTTGCTACGCCGCTGTTCTGTGATAGCAAGGGGGCTCTTGGGATGGCCAGGAACGCTGTGATTCATGGGCTCAATAAGCACATGCGTATCAAGTGGCACTGGCTGCGTAAGGAGGTGAAGAGGGGGACGGTGAATCCGATCTACATCAAGACTCACCAGCAGCCAGCAGACTTCCTCACTAAGAGGCTTGCGGATGAGCCTCATTGGCGTTGTGTGCGCATGAGTGGAATGAGCATGAACTAGCATGGAATGATGGGGATGCAGCCGGGAGGCTGAGGGGGAGTGTGTTGGGTGCAAATTCACATTGCACGACATCCTGCCGTCTGTTTGTACGAGTATGCGTGTGCAAATGCATTTGGGTGTGAATGGAATGTTCGTGTGTTTGTTTGCTTTCGCAATTTTTGCTTGATGCATTTGCAGGTACTCGCGCAATGTGCGCTTCGGCACAACATTGTACGCGGTATGAACAATACAAGCAGAATGGACGAGCTTGCAAAGGAACCCAAGATGGAAGCTTTGCGGTTCAACTTACTTGATTGCACAGATTCAGTTCTATCCAACTCGAAATTGTACTGTTTTGTTTGTTGACTATAGTGTAGCAGGGCAGGCACTATAGAGGTACAATTAAGGTGAAGGTTGGATGTTGTTTGTCTGTATCTGCATGCTACAGGGCCAGGGGAAACCAGCGGAACCAGCATTTGGCTGGTTGGGCAAAGACAAAACAGGTTCTGTTTTTAGGACCTGAACCTGGTTGTTGTTTTCCCAGGTTGGAAAAACAGAACCAGAGGTTGTTTACCAACCTACCACCTGCTGTTTTGTCCAGCCAGGTTGGTTCTGCTGCTTGGAATTATTTGGGATCCTCCCTGGTTGTTCCCAGGTTGATTCCCAAGGTCCTTGCTAGCTAGAGCTATTTATTCCTTCTCTGTTTGTACCTGAATATAGTGATATTGATTCAAGCGAATTCCTTCCTTGCTGGAATTTTGTTTCTACGCGGTGCGACGGCGGGATGCTACCCGAGTCAACGCCAGTACGCTAGCACTCCAACGCTAGGCAAACGCTGTACGAGCCATAACTTCGTAATGGCAGAACATTTCGCGAGGCAACTTGGTTCATTTTAAAGCTCTTGGAGCGAGCTTCGATATAGGAAATTCTCAGCTTAATCCGATCGACAGTCTGCACGATACGCTGCGCGACGTTCAAGGTACTCTTGCTGTTTTGACTAAGTCCCTCTTGATCCCTCTCTCTACAAACTCGGACCCGAGGATAGGGGCTGGTCTTGTACCAGGCACCCAAGGACCCTTGGAGGTGACCCCGAGGAGAGGTTTTAAGTTTGATAAAGTCTTAATAGCTTGAGTTTATTAGGCCCTTACACCAACAATCCTCGAAGAAGAGATTTTTTTGACGCAGCCAGAGGGGATTGATGATGGTAGTGGCAGAGTTTTGGAGTTTTGGAGTTTTGAAGCTGAAGAAGGCCCTCTATGGGCTAAAGCCGGCCCCTAGGCAATGGTACTTGAAGTTGCGAGAAGTTTTGGAGGAGATCGGCTTCACTCCCTGAACGGCCGATCACTCCTTGTTCATGCTTGGCAAGGGGGAGCACAGGAGCTTCATGGTGGTGTACGTGGACAACATCCTCATCTTCTCACCCACCTCTGACCTTGTGAAGGAGGTGATGCTGAAGCTTCAGGACAAGTTCAAGTGCAAAGCACTTGGCGACGTGAACTTCTACCTCGGGCTCCACATCGAACGCGACGTGGAGAAGCGGTGCATGTGGGTGCACCAACGGAAGTACCTGGAGGCGTTGGCTGCCAACTTTGGGCAGAGTGAAGGTCATGTGGCTACACCCTTTCCCTCTGGGTTCAAGTGTGTGAAGGGACCAGAGGAGGACAGCGTTGGTGAAGAGGAGAGGCACCGTTTTCACTCGTTAGTGGGCAGCCTCATGTACGCGGCGGTCAACACTCGACCTGACGTTGCCTTTGCTACCGGACAGCTGGCTAGGGTTGTGCAATGCCCTAATGAGGAGCAGGTAACAGCTGGAATGAGGGTGGCCAAGTATCTTGGCCAAACAGCGACAGTTGGGCTGCAATACTCGGCGGCGGCGCGAAGGCGCCAAAAGGGTGTGGATGGTGTTGAACCCGGGCGTTTGTTCCTCACCGCCTACTCGGATGCTTCTTATGCATCGGAACCAGAGGACATGACAAGTGTTGGAGGGTTCATATGCTGTGTTGGTGGAGGCCCAACGGCTTGGGAGAGCAAGAAGCAGGTTGATCAAGCATTGAGCTCGGTGGAGTCCGAGTACATGGCACTCTTCCGTGCCGTACGGGAGACAGTGTAGCAGCGGTGTTTGTTGGCTGAATTGGGGGAGGAGCAGCAAGGACCTACCCCACTCTACTGTGTAAATCAGGGTGACATTGCTCTTGCGAAGAGCCCTGTGTTGCATGGCCTCACCAAGCACATGAGGGTGAAGTGGCATTGGATGAGGAGCATGGTGGCCGCGGGTGAGGTTGAGTTGCGCTACGTGAAGACAACGGGGCAGCCGGCTGACATGATGACCAAAAGGCTGGTGGAGCAGCAGCATTGGAAGTGTTGCAAGCTGGCTGGGATGGCTCTGAACTGAGAGAGCAAGATCCTAATGCCAACAATCCGAGGGGAAGTTTGTTGGTGCAACCCTATGGTTTGTACTCGGCTTCTTGTCTGTGTGTGTGCATGCGTGTGTGCATAGAATGGAATGAGGGCATGAAATAATAAATATTTCATGCTTATAATAGTGTGTACATGAAGAGTCATGATGTCGAGTGTGTGTGTGTCGAGTCAATAGCGAGTTATCGCTAGTCGCGTATTACGCGGTCATTTGTGTCTCGCGCGCGGTTTCTATTTTGTCGTGTGTCCCATGCGCGGTTTCTATTTTGTCGTGTGTCGAACGTTCGGCGTGACACAGGTGCGTGCAGCAGATCCATCAAGAACTCAAGGATGAGTTTGTGATGAAGAACCCGAGCCTTGGTGTCAAGCCTCAAGTGATTTCGAAGCTCGCCAAAAATGTACAGCTCAAAATGTTGAAAATAGTTACAATACTTTGTGTAGTGTAAAATTTCAGTTGGTGTAGGCCCTTGTGGTGGGTAGTTTCGAGACCCTTCTTGATTGGGGACAGTGTGGTACTGTTCGACATCACTGTACCTCGGCTCTTGGGGTTTGTAGGAGCTGGGTGTTATGAATGAACTTGCAGAGTGTGCAGTAAAACGAATAACGAGAATGATTGAGTACTGAATTACCGAATGTCGATACACACAAAGTGACGAGGCCTAAATAGGGGAATTCCTAGCTAGGCGGAGAGGTAGGGCGAAGATGGCTTGGTGATTTTTGCGATTGGAGCGGAGGCCGACTCGGGAGTGGTTCGTCCGACGAAATCGGCCGAACAGGTTCGTCGCGTGACCCTCGGGATGGCCTCGCTAACGAGTGCATCAGTAAGGATTTGTAGATCCTTAGACTCTCCCACATTCTTAATAAGGCAGCCCTGAACTGAAAACAGACCTCACACTAGCGAGGATGCTGTGGATCTCCTCTTCAGCTGAATCCGACGGCTGAATTGCCTTGAACAATATATTTGAAAAGGTTGGAATGTAGGCCGTCGATGTAGTCAGATGTCGATCTGACGGACGCGAATGGCTCTGGCGAAAATGAACTGAAAGTTGGAATTGAAGCCGTTGATGCACTTTGAACACGATGTGACGGTCGACGATGACGCGAATATGGGGGGAATCTGCTGACGCAGTCATCAGTCGCGGTGTAGCAGAGACCGTTGATGTCGATGAAGTGATCGCAGTCGTCCGTCGTGCTGCTGCATCCTGACAAAGTCAGAAACGCCAAGGAAAGAAAACAGTGCAGCGCACTTTCTCCCCCCCTCCAAGAAAACACACCAGAAAAATCCCGCAGCTGCGCTGAAATGAAAACAACAAACAGAAACCAGGTGTTAAGTCCTACTGAGAAAACCGTTGAGCGTAGAAGTCCGGGCGAAAATGTGTCGGTGTGGAAAATCGATGACGAAACCAGGTATTCCGTGCCCAAAATTCTTTAAGGGCGAACCAACGAAAATAGACCAGGAACCGCGACAGAAAATGTGGGTTGCTCGAACTGAACTTGTTTTGTCTTCACATCGCCGGAAATCAGGCGATATCTTCAGCAGTTGCAACTGGCAGCACCTGATGTGGTCAGAATCAGATCGTTTGTCGTGGGCGGGTCAAGTGGAGCAATTTGCCGCTTATAGAGTTGGAGCGGTCTTATCCCGAAATCCTCTGGCCGAGAAATCGGGGTGTGGCGAAAACGTCGTCGATGGAGGCGATAGGGAGCGAGCTGATTATCGAAAGTCGGCGACGGTCGTCGCAGGTGTAACCAAAATCAAGTGTCACTCCGAGAATGTTGTCGAACATCGATCGAGGGTCAGATGATGTCAGCACCTTTAGCGGCTTTGTCCAGACTTGCCGAGAAATTTGTCGTAATGCGCCGAGGGCTCCCGGGCAGAGATGAAAAATTGCAGCTGTCTCTCTCCCCCTCCCCCCTTCACTGTTGATGCCGCCTTCTTCAGTTTGTCGTAAGTCGTTCGTACCTCTTGAAAACTCCGTATAGTTCCCGCGGTGTTGCCCCACGTATATGTCGCGCGCGGTTAACCAAACGCCGAATTCTCCTCCAAAATTGTCGGCGCTCCTCTCCGTAAAACCGGTAAGTCCCCACGTAAAACTCCGAAACTGTCGCTCGAAAACAACCCCGTAAAATCCGCAATTGCAGGTGCAGTTTTCCTCCAAAATCTTCGGTCGTACTATAGCTGCCCACTCGGTCACCAGCTGTTTCCATCAGTTCAAAATCCATCTGGGGGCATAATCTGGAACCGGGGACTAGACTTGGGTATTCCGAGACCGACTTTCACGGATCCTAGAGGCATCAACGCCGTTGACCCTGACGTCGAAACTTCTCCCACCAGCGCTTTGCAGATGTTTCACCGCATCGCTCGTTGCCGGTAGATAAGTTGCTGAAGCTACGACTGCTCATACGCTCCCTTTTTTCTGAAGAATTTCCTGATGTGTGCGTTTAAACACTAGGGGTCCTATGTCTCCTTGCCGCTGTGTTTCTTGCCAGGCAACTTCGAAAAGTGCCTTTCAGGCGAAGTCCCCCAACGGCTCAACCGCACTCCAAAAAGCAAAGAAATACCCGCAGCTTCATGATTTGTTTGTCGTTTCACCCCGCGACAATTCCGC